TCATGAACTTTCAACTGGGTAGGAATCGGATGTAACATCCAGAATTGGGATTCCACAGATGTGCTAAGAAGTCTGATTTATTCAATTGGAACTTTAAGGATCATTTTGCCTTGGACTCTGATTTAATTCTACATGATACTTGGAATGTTGACACCGGCCTATTTCCGCAGACAAAATTTATAGCACAAACCACTGAACATACCAATACGTGCCTCCTCAGGGTAGACATATCTGTGAAGGTTTTCTCACAAGCCCTGCATTTGTACGGCTTTTCTCCAGTGTGAATACGCTGGTGACGTCTTAGGGCTCCTTGCTGAGTAAACGTCTTTCCACACTGCTCACAGAAATAAGGAGGAGTCTCTGGAAAGAAAATGAATATGAAGAAACTAGCCAATGCTAGTTTATTTCCAATCCTAATGTCACTTTTAAACACATATGTCTAGCTTGCTTTTTGACTTTTGTGACCTGCAGAGGTGAGGACAGGCTAGATCAGGGATGTCAAACTCACATCAATGGGATTTCCCCCCTTCCCCCTTTGCTAAACTGGGCGTGGGCAGCATGTGACGCATCTGGCCCAGGGCCAGGAGTTTGACAAACCTAGGCTAGTTTATGCTTGCATATGTATTGGACTGGCATAGCACTTAGCAATAGCACTTAAATTTATACACCGCTTCAAAGGCAGAATATTGTCCCCAACAATTTGGGTTTTCATTTTACAGACCTCGGAAGGATGGAAGGATGAGTCAGCCTTGAGCTAGTGAGAACTGAACTGCCGGGAGTTGGCAGAAGTAGCTTGCAATACTGCATTCTAACCACCGTGCTGCCTCTGCATAGATGAATAGATGTTTGGCTTGTGAATTAAATTATTTTAAGTGCAATTAATGAACAGAAAGTCATTATTTTTTAAACCAACAGAAAAACTATGGGGATCCTAGTTTTCTCCACGTGATACACTTCTAGGATTTATGGTAAATGTGAACAGTAAACCCCAGAAACCTGTTTTGCATATCCATCTCTCCAATACGCCATTTCTTCCGTACCTGCATGAACATTACTATGTTGGGCTAATGAAGCTCTCAATCCAAAGGTTTTCCCACATACATCGCACTTGTATGGTTTAGCTCCCATGTGACAACGCTTGTGACATTTTAAATATTCATTGGTAGCAAAATGTTTTCCACACACATCACATCTGAAGAGGCGTTCTCCTGTAAAGGAAATACATGGATACATATACATGTATCTACTATAGCCATTGCTATATTCTTTTATTGTAAGCAACATTATACTGAAGACAGACAAGGGATAACTGAATATTTCAAATCCAACGCAGGATCATCCAAATTGAGGATCACTCGTCAAGAGATTTTCAAAATAATGTTTTCTCAAGCTTTCTCAATATATTTCTCTTTTCCTTCCCGGTGATTATTAAAAACCTTTCAGAAACAATGCATTTTACTGTTCATAATACTGAGAAACCTTGTGAAGTCATGAAGAATCTGAAAATTCTGTCAGTTTGCTGTATCCCGCATGGCCAAGGGCTTATTTGTAACATTATATACTTGCGTATTATACATGTTGTCCTTGACATACAACTGATTACTTAGCAACTATTCAAAACTAGGACAGACCCTGAAAAAGCCACTTATGATACAGATTTGAAGTTCTGACGGCCTGCCCCTCCCGGTTCCACCACAAAACCGCGTTCGACTAAAGCACGCTCGACGAAACCGCGTAGCTGACGTCATCACAGGGCGACAGCCAAGAGCCAAGGTGGCGCAGTGGTTAAATGCAGCACTGCAGGCTACTGCTAGATCAGCAGTTCAGCGGTTCAAATCTCACCGGCTCAGGGTT